TGACTGGCTTATTTCACTTAGCATAATGCTCTCCAGTTCCATCCATGCTGTTGCAAAAGGCAAGAGTTCCTTTTTTTTTTTACTGCAGCATAGTATTCCATTGTGTATATGTACCACAGTTTTCTAATCCACTCATCTGCAGTACCTGAAGATATAGTAACATGTGTTATTTGAGGGGCTGGTGACCAAAGCAATGCATCATTTTCCTACCATATGCCCAGCTAGGTACTGAGTATAGTGGTGGGGATAAAGGTGAAGTATTTTTTTTTAATTTTGTTTTAGTAGAAGACACTCATTAAATGTGTGTTTGATGAAGAATTAAGGATGTGCTCCACTGAGGTGAGAATTACAGTCACCTTTGGTGCTTATTAAAGTTGAAGGTGTCAGGGTTCTACTGATTCAGTAGGTCTGAGGGAGGGCTCCGGGTATCCACATTTTTAGGACTTTTCTGAAAAGAGGTTTACTGCTCTAGATGATCTGTTCTGTCAAACTTTAAAGACCAAAGTATCCTAAATTTTATGTAATCTCAGTTTTTATTATGGCTAGTTTCATCTTTGTTAGATAGATTTCTGGATGTCAGATGAATATGTGTCTCCCGTACATGCTAAAGGGGCTGCTGGTAGAGCTGTGAAGCTGAGAATGAGCTGGGGCTATCTGCAGGGGTTCTGGGGAGCACGTTTCAAATATGTGGGCAATGAGTCATAGTTGGGAGATGATGGTGTATCTGACCACAGGCCAAGCATATCCAATATCAACATGGTATTTATCGCCGAAACCGGTTTGGCTCAGTGGATAGAGCGTTGGCCTGTGGACTGAAAGGTCCCAGGTTCGATTCCGGTCAAGGGCATGTACCTGGGTTGCGGGCACATCCCCGGTGGGGGATGTGCAGGAGGCGGCTGATCAATGTTTCTCTCTCATCGATGTTTCTGACTCTCTATCTCTCTCCCTTCCTCTCTGTAAAAAATCAATAAAATATTTAAAAAAAGAAAAATTACCTGTCCAAGTTGTTTGTTTGTTTGCTTTTGTGTGTGTGTGTTAATCCTTACCCGAGATATTTTTTTCATTGACTTTTAGAGAGTTTGAAAGGGAGGAGAGAAGTGGGGAGAGAGAAAAAACATCAATATGAGAGACATATCCATCGGTCGCCTCCTGCATGTGTCCAGACTGAGCAGGGGATGGAACCTGCAACCCAGGCTATATGCCCTTGACGGGGAGTCGAAACCTGGGACCATTCAGTCTGGGAGTTGATGCAACCATGGCATTATTTTTTGCTAAGTGTTTGAGGATACTGCTTAGTGACCACCACTTCCAGTGAAATGTCAAATCGGTATTTTCAAATGGCATACATAGGTATTATAAGAACCTTCCAAGATTTCCCATTCTTATCTTTAATCATTTGCTTGTTTTCAAACTGTCACCTCTCTGTTGATACAATGGAAAATGGTTAGATGCTAAAAAGAAAGAAGTGCCAGAAGGGATGGTTATTAATACTGACATTAAAATATAATTCCTCCCCTCAAGGACAACTGTGAAATCATTAAACTGAAAAGGGTTTTATCTCCTTTCTAGCAACTTACTCATGGAGAAAATTTTAATTTCAAGTGTTGATCTAGTACAGTGGTTCTCAACCTTCTGGCCCTTTAAATACAGTTCCTCATGTTGTGTCCCAACCATAAAATTATTTTCGTTGCTGCTTCATAACTGTAATGTTGCTACTGTTATGAATTGTAATGTAAATTTCTGAAATGCAGGATGGTCTTAGGCAACCCCTGTGAAAAGGTCGTTCGACCGCCAAAGGGGTTGTGACCCACAGGTTGAGAACTACTGATCTAGTGAAATTAGTAAGTTTATTTCAGATTACTGAAAATAACCAAGTTAATAAAAATATAGATCACTTCTAATTGAATAAAGACCTCCATAATGCACAGCCTGTATTTCATAGAGTAGAAAACATAAAAGTATAAAGTAATTTCTGATATCAAAGTGGGAGATAAGCCATCTCTATGAATATATGAATGCATACCACTAACATCACAGAAACAGCACATAAATGGATGCCATTTAAAAGATTTCATGGTATAACATGGGACCCAACCTGTGTGAACACAGGATGTCCCAAAAAATGTATACACACTTTAACAGCTGACAGCTCAATTTTGAAAATGAAATATATTTTAATTAACCCTGCCTTTATAATTATTCAAAGTGTGTACACACTTTTGGGGAACACCCTATATATTGGTTAGGAGAATGGATTTTGGAATCCAGCAAACCTGAATTTTAAATACCAGTTCTTTGACCTAGGACCAATTTTGTGGGTTAGATTAAATAAGAGAATGCATATATAAATATTTACCCCAGCCCTGACCTGTTTGGCTCAGTGGATAGAGCATCGGCCTGTGGACTGAAGGGTCCCAGGTTCGATTCCGGTCAAGGGCATGTACCTCGGTTGTGGGAACATCCTCAATAGGGTCTGTGCAGGAGGCAGCTGTTCTATGTTTCTCTCTCATCGATGTTTCTAACTCTCTATCCCTCTCCCTTCCTCTCTGTAAAAAATCAATAAAATATACTTAAAAAAATATTTACCCCAGTTATTATGCCAAAACCTTTTTGTGCCTCAGTTTCCTCATCAGTATAATCAATTAATAATACTTTACACCTTGGATGGTATGGCTCAGTTGGTTGGAGTGTCATCCTGTACAGGTTCAATTCAGGGTCAGGGCACATACCCGGGTTGTAGGTTCAATCCCAGTTGGGGTACGTGTGGAAAGTCACTGATCGATGTTTCTCATATTCATGCTTCTCTCTCTCTCCCCTTCTTCCTTCCTCTTCCTAAAATCAATTTAAAAATCATAATAATCATTTACCTCATAGAGGGATTGCAAGGATTAAATAAGTGAATGGAATAGTGCAAAGAACAAAGCAAGTGCCTGCTAAATAATAGCTCTTAGTGGTGATAGTAATGGTGTTTGTGAGGTCATAGGGTACCAGAGGTATAAGGGAATTTAGAGACATTATAGAGAAACTATTTATAAATAAGGAAACCTAGACTCAAATTGTTGAAGATGGGCTCCTGGTCCCATTACCAGGGCTGGTATTCTAGAACAGTGGTTCTCAAATGGGCTCCTAGAGCCACCCAGCCACTCTGCTGTTATCTACATAGCTGGGCTTCTAAATAAGAAAAAAGAATCAAACATATGAAAAATGTTTGAAAGCTACTGCTTTAAACTAGTATTTGTGGGATATCATTTGAGAACCATGCGTTAGGGTACCTCTTAAAAGTACAGCTCAATACAATCTTGTAGGGTATTTATTAAAAGTATAGCTGCCAGGCCCCACCTCAAAAATGCTGACTCTCAACCTGTGCAGATGGAGTGGAGGAACTGAATGTCTGCATCCCAGGGGATAGTTATTTGCATAGAAGCACCAGTACTGCTTTCAGCGGTTCTCAACCTGTGGGTCGCAACCCCTTTGGGGGTTGAACGACCCTTTCACAGGGGTCGCCTAAATACATCCTGCATATCAGATATTTACATTACAATTCATAACAGTAGCAACATTACAGATATGAAGTAGCAACGAAAATATTTTTATGGTTGGGGGTCACCACAATATGAGGAACTGTATTAAAGGGTTGCGGCATTAGGAAGGTTGAGAACCACTGGCTTAGATCATAATACTGATAATGTTGTTGTTTTTCATGTTTGAAAAGCTGTGTTTCCCATCCTTAAACTAAAATCCATTAATTTCACTAATTCAAACAGCAACATGAGTGACTT